CATTTTTTTGTGACAAGCGAGACTTGAACATGAGTTGACAGATTTCTTGAAAAGTAAACTGCATAACTGCACGTTGTTAAAAATGCGGAGATAACATGATCACTACAGTTTTATCCAGGTAAGCTCTAGAAAGACTCATGGCTTCCTAAGATTTCAGCCAGGGCTTTTTCTAAGTCCCTTACTGCCTTGGTTGTCAGATAATAGTTTCTGGGGTAATGTATTTTCGAGCTTGAATCATAAAGACACACTGCCTTATGACCCAAGTACATAATCTTTACTATGCTACCTATTTTCCCAGTGTAACCACCGCGGTTTACCGACGTCTGCTTTAATGTTAGGGCAGTTTGTTTATAACAGCCCTTTAATTCAGTGCCTAGTTCACTCAGAAGAGTGCTGTTGTCTTGCAGGTCCTCATCTCCCCGGACAAAGCCATGCAGGGTCAGGAGACTGTCCTGGGAAATATGAAGCACATCCAGGATGACTTCCTGCTTCTCTTGCAAGCCCAGATCCAAAGCCCAGCTCTTAGAGACGACCAGCTTTCCTTTACAAAGCAAGCCCAACTCTGTCTGGAGTAACTGCTTATAGCCTTCATGTGGGGAGAACAGTTTCATGCAGAGAGCTTCTGAAGAGCATATCACCTTTCCAGATATCACAAGACAAGAAAAGAAACATAACAAATTAGAAAAGGAAAATGCCTGGAGTGTCTTGTGTGACACATCACCAAGCAGTTTGAAAGTCCCACATTTTGCATCCCAACCCAGAAGGTGAACACAAGATACTAAACACTGACTGAAGAACTGGAAGGAGGCAGGTGCAAGGGGGACGTAGAAACTCAAACTGGAAAGAGTGAGATATGGAAGCAGCTGAACACTCACGGTCCTGCCTGTTCCATAGCACGAAGCATCAGAGGTTTGCTCTGGGGAACTCAACAGATGAGAAGAGTCAGGGGTGCAAAGGACAGAGGAATGCTGAGGACAGAAAAGTCAGATGATGAAACAGGAGAAAAGCATGGAGAAATGGGGAGGTTTCACAGAGCAAGGAAGGGAGCAGACCACATTCCCACAGCTTCAGGGATGGGGAGAAGATGCCTCAGGAAAGATCACAAGGGAGGCTACGCTTCCCTGGCGAGCATAGACTGGCAGTCGCAGCCATGGGGTAGCACATAGTTCTTCAAAGCCTTGTATCCAGTAAAGGAATTTGAAGGGACACTATCACCTTCTATCTAGCAGATTAGAATTACAGAGGAAGTTTCTTTGATTTGTCTCTCTATCTGAGACTGTCACATGTTGCTAGGTGCTATCTAGTATATGTGTGTGTGTGTGTGTGTCTTGTGTGTGTGTGTGTCTGTGTGTGTACACCAAGTTACTCGAGGGACCTAAAAAAAAGTGACACTCCCAGTGCAGGAAGCATGGAGACACCTTTCACCACAGAACCCGGTTGAACAGGAGGTTGGAACCTAGTCACAGCAACCAACCAAGCAGCCACAGTGAAACTACCTGGAAGGAGAGCACTCTGTTGAGGAGCATCAGGATTGTCATAAGGAAAGCAGCTGTGGGGACCATGTGGCAGTCTGCTTGATTGAAGAGTGCGTTTACCTTGCTTGGAAAAACCTGAGAAGACTAAGGTAATTTTAAGTTTCCCATAAATCCAATATCTCTTGCAAAGCACATTAAGAATCTCAATTGAGCCCTGTGTTCCTAATAGAAAAGGAAGGTAGATTATAAGGTCAAAAAGATACTACCAAATTAGACACTGATGATACTGAACTGCATTATACTATCCTCAATAAAACACAGCTATAGAAAGGATGTTAAGAGTAGCTGAATGTATTGACCATTAGATGGGTACATTTTACTTTGTGTTTATTTGTCTTTTTAAAATTGAGATAGGGTCTCACATAGCCCAGGCTAGCCTCAAAGTCACTATGTAGCCAAGGGTGACTGTGAATTTCTGATCCACCTGCATCTCCCTCCAAAGGGTTTGAATCACAATTACACTATCATTCCTAGTTTTAGGGTTCTATGCAGCAGGTGTGATTGAAGCCAGAGCTTCTTGTACGCTAGGCAAGCATTCTTCCAACTAAGAGATGTCAGCAGCTTTGGGTTATGTTAAAAGCAGTTAATCTAGAAAGCAAGAGGCTGGTTGGGAGGGAGTTGGTGAAGAGTCTGAGAAGCTCGCATTTTCAGAGACTGTAAGGTTCTGGTGTGAGTTCACATAAGATTTTCATCTCCTAAAACCAGAATAAAACCAGAGAACTGAGCTTAGGGCAGAGGTACCTGAGGGTGGGCTACAGAAGCCTTGCTGTGCAGGAGACTGGGACAAGCAAGCTAGAAGTGGTCTGGAGACAGACAGGAGGAAGTGGATAGGCAACTCTGTGTGGATGTGTGACATTGAGGGTGCACGAAGGACAGTGTCCTTCAAGGCTGTGCTGCTCAGCTTTCTGATGGAAATGTCCATTCCCTCAGGCTAGGACAGGACAACACTCTCACTATTCTGCTGCAAACATTAGGGCTGCATTTTCCCCTGGCCTGAGACTTGGCAGGGATGTCAGCTTAACCTGCTGTGTCAGGTGACAAGACCCTTGAAAGGAATTATGAGGCCAGGCTCCTCCTGTCCCTGCTCCAGTTCCAGCTCCTGGAGGAGCAGGCTGTATCAGACTTGTGAAGGAAGCAGCTCACAGTAGTAGTAAAGCAGTGAATATACTTTCCATAGGGGACCAGAGATCTATAAAGTAGCTATTGATCTGTGAGGAGTTTTCAGGGTGTCAAAGCCCAGAAAGCAATCTTCCAACCCCCATAGCCCAATGTAATCTCATTATTAATCTCGGTTCCTCAACCTGCTGGGGCATCCATCTGCCGCTTCACGCATTCCTCTGCGGTAAACCTCTTCACACAACCATCTTCCACATGCCAGGATTCAGGATGTTCAGCGAACACTGCACAGCAGAATCTCTCCACTCTGAGTGCACACACATATGCACACACAGTTTCAGGTTTGTGCACTTTGATGAATTTGCATGTGTACTTGATTCTCTCCTTCTCCTCACAGAAGTGTGTGACAGGCAGATGTTGGAAGCACTGTTCTATTTCACTCTGTAGATCCCCAAGATCGTCCTTCTCTGCTTCAAAACCAATAATTTTCTGGGTTTTGCCATTCAAACCAATGAACAAATATCCCCCGTCAGTGTTTGCAAATGCAGAAACAGTTTGGGGGAGAATCTCTAAAATCTTTTCCTTAGGAGTCAGTTTTACTTCAGCATGTAGGGATTTAATGAAACAGAATACGTCCTCATAGGTAAGCCGGTTTCTGTCAAATAGGTTAAAACATTCATTTGGTAATTCATTACAGATGATTTTTCCAGGTGAACTTTGTCTGGAATCTGATTTCTCTAAAGTATATTTCCTGGCTTTGAGGAACTGCATTGCAGCAGCTGCTTTCAGTTCATCTGAAGAAGAGATGCTTCTCCTATACAACTTGTTTTTCAAGGTGGTTATCCCCTGGCCTGTGTTATTCGGCTTCCGTGCTTTCACAAAAATGAAAAAGTAGTCTTTGTGCTGCATAAAGTCTAGGTATTCATGAGGAAATGACAACATATTAAGTAAGAAATTTTCCAAATCCAGTCCTATTCCATCTCTGGTGAAGCTGTAGTTTTGATTTTTAATGTGATCCTTGACCACGCCCCCTCCAGAATTCAACAGGGCACACACAGCCTGTGCCATATTTTTGGCCTCTCTTTTTCTCAGTTGACAATCTTTCATTGACTTCCTAGTCTTCTCTCCAAGTGTGATTTTTCCTACAGACAGAACCAGTTCAGCGTAGTCTGTGTCCTTATCGACAGCGATGTTCATTTTCCAGTCACTGTCTCTGCTTCCCAGATGAAATCCTTTCCTGCAAGACAGACAGAGCCATTACAGAAGGACCTAAGCAGTTAGAGCCAGCATTACCAGACACCATAAGTATGTGAGCGGCTATGGATGAGCAATCAAGGTCAGATGTGACATTTGATTAGGGGCTGTTGGAAATTCTGTACTGACTATAATAATGGACACTCACTAAATTTTGAAGGTCAAGGTCATGACTGTGTACAATCCTCTTCTAACTATTTTGAATTAAGAAACTTCATTGCATCTATGCATCCTACATGGCACTGTGTTGTGTAAGGAACTTTAAAATATCTTTAACCTCATATATTTTATATTTTATGGGTAAGAGTGTTTTGTCTGCATATATGTACGTGTATCACGGAGATGCCTGGTGCCACTGGAGGTCAGAAAAGGTTTTGGATCCTTCGAGGCTGGAGATATAGGTGCTTGTGAGCCCCAGTGTAAGTGCTGGGAATTGGACCCTGGTCCTCTATGAGAGCAACAAGACATCTTACACTGTGAGCCAACACTACAGCACTACAAAAAGACATTTAACTTAAGTGCATCCCGTACACTGAGTGTGTTCTCCTGTCTAACTTCTATGCTGTCTTCCTCTCATCTGCTCCCTTAGATAAATTCAGCTACACACACACACACACACACACACACACACACACAGACACACACGGTTTCTCAGATGTTTAATATATACACTCTAGGAACTACATCTGAGAGGAAATTTATGAGATTTGTCATTCTGAGACTGGCTTGGTTCACTTCATCTGATTCTGTCCTGTGGTGCAATCCCCTTCCCTTTCTTTTGTGGAAGTTGGAGTAATGGTCAGGGTTCTGCATTTGTCAGAAAAGCATTCTTCAGGAAGCATAGCCCAGCCCCTCTCCTGCTTTAATGTGACTGTTCTCCATTTTCTAGCTCCCTCCTGGTGTGGCTTCTATGTTCTGGAATCCTGATTTTTCTTTTCCTTCTCTCAGGACCTTTCCCCCAGTCTCATGAAGTCGTATTTGAGCACTGTTCAGGAACACTCTGTCGAAGTCCTAGCACATTCTTTGTCTCTTCTGCCTGTCCTGATGCTGCTTTCCAGTTCTCCCCACTATGACAAAAGCAACCAGTTTACAAACCGTGAATCCTGCCATCTTCCTGGCTTGGCATGCCGTCCTCCCTGAAGAATATTCCCTGGACACTTGAGTGGAGCAGAGGGCTCTGTGAATGTCTGTGGATCCACATCTTTCACCAGCTGTGGGGTGTTTCCAGCCATCTCTCCTTCTGATAACTTCTCAACTCTTTCTGACTTCAGATTCTGGGGACAGAAACAGTGTTAGTCTTTATGACAATGTTCCACAAAGTCAATGTTGGGTTCTGTGTGTTTTCTTCAGTTCCTTTTTATGCTCCTTGGGCTTCAGGGTTTCACTGGTCTTTAACTTTACTGATTTGTTTTTCTGCCTAGCAAGTCTGGTATTGAACCTTACTAAATATTTCTTTGAAATTCAAGTAGTGAGGTCTTATATGTTCTGTTTTGTTCCTTTCTGCAATATTGAATGACTTCATTTATTCTCAAAAGTAGCTATCCTGGTTCCCATCCGTAGACTAGTCCTCAGAATCCCAGGCAGGGCAACTCCATCTTGCAGTAAGGCTTCTCCTTCCCTGTTGGACATGACAGACTACAGGAAGAGAAGCCATGCTTCTCACTCTTGGACAGTGAGTGATGATATCTGCAGAATCCTAATAAAGGCCCAGAGGGAGTGCCCAGAGATGTCTTAGCAGCAAAAATCAGTGCCTGCTCTTCCAGAGGACTCCAGTACAATTCCCAGCATTCATATGGTGGCTCACAACCATTTGTAACTCTGATATGAGGTACTAAGACAACCATTCAGGCAAAACACTGCTACATACAAAATCCATAAGTAAATTTAAAATATTATGTTAAACACAAATTTCCCATGATACTTATATATTTTAGTTGAGGCTTCCTCAACCATGGCCCCAGTAGCTTATCTCTGCAGTGGTCATCAGCAGTACAGAGATTCAGTGCTGCTCAGAGTGTGGAGAATTATTGAGGATTCAGTGCCCCTCCTTAAATGATCATCAACATGACGTGCCCTCTCAGGTTCAGGGTATACTCTCACAGCAAGCACAGTAAAGAATGTCAGAGCAGAGAGCTGGGGGTCTGGGGGAATGAATACTTAGTTAAGAAAACATCCTATTGAGATCAGTTTTACAGAACCACAGAACCTAGGTTTGTTCACTGCACTGACCTAACTGCTCACTACCATCTGTAACTCCAGATTCAAGAATCAGAGAGCCTCTTCTGACCTCTGTAGGCAATGTACACACTCTGTGTACACATACATGCACACAGACAAAACACATGTACATATAGAATATGAATTAAATTAATTCCCTTTTAAAGAAAGACTGTAAAATCTGGAGGACAGGAATGAATGAGACATGCTGTCTTCCGGGCATGATGGGGCCGCTGCACTGATGGCTTCCTGATGCTGTCTTCCAGGCATGACAGGGCCACTGCACTCATGGCTTCCTGTAGTGTCATTACCTGCCCACAATCAGTCAACAAGGCCATTCATGATTCCAGCAGGCAGCATTAACTGGACTCTGTGGGTCATAATTAATCAGTTAATTAATTGGAGAGATTAAATGGGCAGGGGCTAGAAGTGCATTTAGGGAATTGTTGAAGGGGAGGGAAGCCCCTTGTAACATTGTTACAAGTATGAAATTATCCAAGAATAAATAAAAGACTTTCTATTGTAGTAAAAAAAAAAAAACACCAAAGTTGCACTCCTGGACACATATCCTAAAGCATCTAGGCCATTGTACAGAACACACACCCATATACTCATGGGTTGGCTTCCTGTCCATAACAGCTGAGTTTGTGAACAAGCAAAGAGCCCTATCAGCAGGTGAGTGAGTGAGGAAATCATAGCATGTGCACACTTAAGCTCCCTACATGCTCAGTGCTTACTGAGGACTTACTCAGCCATAAGGAAGAAGAGAATCCATCACTTCAGGAAAGAAGATGGAGCTGAGGACTATAGTATGTGAAGTGATTCAGAAAGACCAATCATGTGTGTTACTCTCAGATGCAGAATGCAGTTTTTAAAAGGTCTTAACGTATGTGGTATTTTAAAAGGTATTAACGAACAACATGTTTGAAGTATTAACATGTATGAGAAGAGGAACAGGAGTGGGAGGGGCAGAAGAGGGAGACAACGGGGTTCCCATGATCAAAGGACATCTCGTTTCTGATAATGTCATAGAGAAATATTTATTCTGTAAAACTACTCTCAATTAATAAGAAAGAGGCTCATGTCAATGGAAAACCATCACCACCAACAACATATCTTTCTCACAGTCTAACTATCTGTCCATAGTGTTTTTAACCTGCAACTTCCTTTGCTGATTTGACACTAGAGGGCACTCACACACAAAGTGACAGCAGAGACACCCATATAACACAGGGGCTGGAGAGATGTGGGAGAATTTCACTGACTTGACCAACATCAATTAATGCAATGTGTGTCCACTACTGTGGGGTAACCTGCAGTGAACTCATTTTTCTCCTGGAACTGAGTTTGCATGAGTCACCGTGACTGTCAGTGCTATCCAAGTAGATACACTCAGGACTCTTTTTATGCACTGTAAATTTTCAACTCTATGAATATGTTTATGGGTGCTGTGTTGCATTATTGTTCTTTAAAATGTTTTACTTGTATGGGTGTTTATCCTTTGTGTGTGTTTGTGAACCATCTGTGTGCCTGGTGCCTTTGGAATCCAGAAGATGACATTAGGATGTATGATTTGGAGTTAAAAATGGTTGTAAGCTGCTCTGTGGGTGCCAGAAATAGACTCCATCCAGGTCACATAGAAGATCAGCCAGTGTTCTGAATTTCTGACTCATCTATGCAGGTCTGTCTATCTTCTCTTCTATTTTCTTCTCTTCTTTTCTCCCCTCTCCTCACCTCTCCACTTATTTATTTATTTATTTATTTCTCTTATTACTAACAGAAATGTTGTGTATTCAGAGTTCAGAATACACTTATGAAAGATGTACATATTATGGGATGTTTGAATTAAGTTAATTGATATATGCATTACTTCATACAAAAATGATACAAGTTGTTATATTTGTGTGAAGAACACAAAACAGCAACTTCTACAGCTAGCTCTGGTAGTGCATCCTGTAATCCCAGCTACCCAGGAACTACCTGAAGCAAAAAGATCACAAGTTCAAAGCCAGCCTGGAATGCAGACTGAGTTCAAGGCCAGCCTTTGCAAGTTAGCAGATCTCTTTCTCCAAAGAACAAGTAACCAGAGGAATGGAGACAGAGTTCACAAGCAGATTTCTGGACCAGCAGGTCATCGACTAGTAGGTTCCGCCCTCAGCACACAAACATGAGTCTAAATAGCACCCTGTTCTGCAAAGGCTCCTCTTACACAGCACACATTTTATACTCCTTCAGTTACAGCTCCAACAAGCAAGCCCACTTCCTGCTCTCTGCTATCCTAACTCTTATTCCTATCAATTCAGGTTCTTTAGATTCCTTATATAAGTGACTTCACACAGGGTTTGCCTGTCTTCTGTGCCTGGCTTACTTACATAAAATATTGTCATTCAGGTTCATCCATGTGTTCACAAATGACTCTATCTCCTTCCTCTTAAGTCTTCAGTGTGCATGTACCATGCCTTCTGCATTTCTTATCCATCTATGTATCTTAGGCTGATTTCATACTTTGACCTTTTCCAAAATGCAACAACAGCCAGGGATGCCCAGCTGTCTCTTTGGCATAATGACGTCATTTTCCTCGGACATATCTAGTACTTCCTCACTTATTGCGGAGCCACTATGGTTTCCAAAATATCCCCTCTCATTCATACCCTTCCACCCCTGCTGTACCAGGATCCCGTTACTCCACATCTGTGACAACAGGCATCTTTCATCTTTTTGATAACAGATTGCAGGACCAGGAGCTGGAGAGAGGGCTTCATGGTTAAGAGCACCTGCTACTCTTGCAAAAGAATCAAGCTCCATTCATGCACATGAAATAAATTTAGTCGTTAAAAGACAGTCATGATATTGAAGGGATAGCTGAGTAGTAATGAGCACTGGCTGGCTGTCCAGAGGACACAGATCCAAATCCCAGTACCCACATGATGGCTCACAGGATCTGTAGCTCCAGTCCCAGGTGATTTGTCACCCTCTTCTATCTCTGTGAGCACCAGGCACACACACAGTGCAAATACATACATACATACATACATACATACACACACACACACACACACACACACACACAGAGAGAGAGAGAGAGAGAGAGAGAGAGAGAGAGAGAGAGAGAGAGAAATCCATGCTAATGAAATAATAATGAAAACATTAGGTAAATCAATAATTGCGACAAGGCTAAATCATATTTAATTGTGCTTCTTGCATCTTCTCAATGATTAGTAACACTAAATTTTTTTGTCAAATGCCTCTTGGCCCTTTGTAAATCTAGCTGAAGGGTTTTACTAGACTCTACCCAGCTGTGAATTTTTCAACAGGTCAGGATATGGGGCTTCTCATCTATCATCACCCCAACTGTGGGATCTGTCCCTTTAGTCCATCTTTAGTTGAATTGTATCTGTAGTGTGAGATCTAATTTCCTTCTTTTACATGTAGAGATGTCTCTTCTGTTTCTTCTTATAGGGTCACGTTTCTAAGAGGATGGGGCACAGTTCAAGGGCTCTGGAGATCTACACAAGCCTCTGCTTCCCCTGCCTCACTAGTTAGGCTTATACCATGCATAATTTGTCAGTACCCAAGCTACCATAACTAGAATTCATCTTTGTGGAGCTAAGAGTTAAACCTCTGTCTGAGGAAGCTGTTATTGTCCAAGCGTAATTAAGCATCCTTCAGCTCTCCCCTTCCCACAACCAGAGAAAAGCATTTGCTCTCATTCCAATTCCCGCAGCATGCAAAGCCTCACAGCCTGTGCTTTGGTAGAAGAGGCTACAGAAATGCCAAAGAGACAAAGACATTAGAAGGGACAGAAGGTATCTCATGCTTTAGATGAGACAGTGGGCTGAGCCATCAATCTCCTATTGACCCAGGACAATAGAATGGACATACTGTTGGAATCAGGATAGAAAGAAAATAGAGTTGCAGGATGCTGATAAGAACCTGGCTCACTTTACCTTGTCCTGAGATCTGAGTTGTTTGAAGTCCATGGTGTTCAAAAGAGGGAAGTTCAGGTTGTGTGTCCTCCTGTAGAGTAGGAGCCCTGTAAGGACGAGATTTCCTTCAGTACCAAATGTGGTTTCTCCATGACAAATTGTTAATCTTTATGTATGAGTTATGGTTGTAGGTTGGGGTTTCTTTTTCTGCTTGTATGTTTTGTTGTTGTTGTTAATGTTTCCATAGAGGGAATAAAGCATTTATGTTCCTTGCTCTCCTTCTCTCTCTGCCCAGTGTTGACTGAATTCTGGCCTACAACCATGTTGCCACTCCAGCATCCCAAGCACCTGTGATTATATTCCCACATCATCACTCTGGTATCATGTCTAGTACAGAATTCACTCTGCTAGTATTTGTCTTAAGATTCTGTGTATAGGAAGCTCTTCCGAGTATCATTGCTGACAGATGCTGCTGTCGAATTCACGGCAGCTTCATGAAGTGGGTGGGAAGTGCTGGCTGCAGTTCAGACACAAGCTCTCCCCTGAGTTGTGGACTTTTCTGAAGTGAACCACTGTTCAGCACACACATTAACTACAACTGAAGGACTTAGCATTTCACTGACAGAAAGAGCTATCTCTTTCCCAGGGACAGAGTTCATCATGCTCTGCCATGCTGGCAGAAACCAGAGTAGAAAGTTTGCATCTTGTTTCACCAGGCCACCATACCTCTCACTTACAATTCGTTTGTAAAGTAATGATCGACAGCTTCTGTAAACCCCTGCGAGCTGCAGAGTTGGGCCCCATTTTGGCCCTGGTTCGGGCCTTGAGGATAAACCCGAGGCTGGCTCGAGTCACTCCCGTACCAGAGTGGCTCAACAAGACCCGTTTGGCCCTGACTCTGCTCTGCTGTTGCTGATGTAGAGCTTTGCCATTGGCCCTGTCAGTCAACTCATACCCTCTGTCACCCTTCCCCCCCCCATGTCATCTCACTCCACCAAAAATCCCTCTCCTTATAAGCGAAAGACTGGACCGACTCCTAGCCAGCAGGTCCAGGCAAGAGGAGAGAGGTCCCAGTCCTGCCTGGTCTCTGGGGCTGAGCGGGATGATGAGCATCAAAGGCCCAAAAGAAACACACCAGGCCGGGAGTCTTGTCGAAGCAAAAACTCCACTTCAATGTACGAGCCTCTCACTTATATAAACTCGGAGTATAAGGAGGGGGACTTTTGGTGGGGTGAGATGACATAGGAGGTAGGGAAGGGTGACGGAGGGTATGGGGTGACTGACAGGGCCAACGGCAAAGCTCTACATCAGCAACAGCAGGGGACAGAGGCAGGGCCAAACGGGTCCTGTTGAGTCACTCCAGTATGGAAGTGACTGAGACAGGTCTCAAAACTCGAGCCAGGCTTGGGTTTGTCCTCAAGGCCCAAACCAGGGCCAAAATGGGGCCAAACACTGCAGTGTTTTTAAAATGAATGTTTTGACTTATGAATGTCTGTGCACCACACATGTGCTTTGTTTCAATGGATTTCTGAAGAGGGATTCCTGGAACTAAAGATAGGGATGTTTGTGACCTGCTGCGTGGGTTCTGGGAACCAAACCCAGGTCCCCTGCAGGAGCAACAAATGCTCTGAACCTCTGCACCATCCCTACAGTCCCTGCAAACTGCTGCTTAATTTCATATTGATTATTAGTGCAACGGTGCTTAGTAAGGTCACAGTGGATAATGTACTATATTTGCCGATCGGGGCTGATCATGACTGATGCTTGGAAAATCTACTTATTTTTAAAATTTATTTAAATTTTATTTTATTATTTTTCTTTTATGGTTTTTGTTACATGCTCTTGCTATGGTGACTTGCCAGCCTGGAACTACTATGTAGAGCAGGCTGGCCTCTACCACACAGAGATCCACATGCCAGAGCATCCCAAATGTTATAATTAAAGGCATGTACCACCACCCCTGACGAGAGCTGGTGATTTTCATTAATCCCACAGGTTCATTAATCTCTCACTCGGCTCCTCCAATCTCCACATACATGTGGTTAAGGAATCTTAAAACAAACAAACAAACAAACAAACAAAAACGCCATGCAGTGGTGGCGCACGCCTTTAATCCCAACACTTGGGAGGCAGAGGCAGGTGGATTTCTGAGTTCGAGGCCAGCCTGGTCTACAGAGTGAGTTCCAGGACAAAAACCAAACCAAACCAAACAAAACAAAACAAAAAAACTATTAGAACGGGAAATGGGAATTCTGAAAGGATAATCAAATAAGAATTGAACTACAGAGTGTAAGAAATAGAATGCTGAAGAGGAAAAATCTTGTGTAGGGAGTAGGGGTAGTTTGACTCTAGATATTTAATTCAGACTAACCCATGAGGATTTATGAGAATTTCCTGACTACAAGAAGGTAATATTAGTGAAGACCAGAAAATCATAGGCATGCTAGAGAAGTTTCCAGAAGCTGAATTACTGGGTCAAGTGATAGACTGTTTATATATGTAGTATTCACCACTAGGTTTTTTTCCTAGCAACTTTATCTTGGCCCAGCCTCTGGAGGCACACTGAGTACCCATCAAAAGGCAGGCCTACAGTTCCATGTCTATTACAAACGAACACTTTCCCTCCAGGTTGCCCACACCCTCAGATCTGAGCATGGAGAATGACACAGTCCTAAGATAAGTTCAGACCAGCCGTGTGATCAGATAGGCTCCAGCTGAAGGAAAGCATCTGAACACACTGCTGACAGTTCCAGACAACATCAGGCTAAAGGAAGAAGTTTTGACTCCCAGGAGATGAACAGCAATGGAGCCAGATCAGTGGGATCACTCAAGGTCACACTGAAAGCTTAACCCTGGTCTTAATGTAGTATAACCAGAGGAAACACTCAGGAAGTTGTGTGTCCCTGTGGGACCATGAAAAGATAGCTTGGTTTCTGGTTGGACACAGGCCTGGAACCCTGGATCCTAATGGGACTACGGTAAGCGTTTGGCCACGCCCCCAGAATCCAGGCTCCTGACACAAGACCCCTTACCCCCCTGAAAATCTCCATTGACCCACACCTTTCAGTCATATAGGGCAACGCTCCTACCAGCCCTCCACAGGTAGAGGGCATGACTACAGGCTTCAACCTCAAGAGATTTCCATATTAATGAGATACCTGAAGGCCAGAGGGCGTAGCCAATTAAGTATTCCTTTTCCAGATCCTATTCCCTCCCTATTTAGCTCAGGTCAGCCCTGAGTTCAGTGTGGGGTGCAGCCACATTCATCTACCATCAGCAATGACGATAAACCTTATACAACGATGGACTCCTTTATGTCTTAGGGCCTGATGTGGAGAACCGTTGAGGGGTCCTTCGATTACTGAGCCGCTGCTTAATCTCCCGCCTGGAGAACTTTGCTGCTTTCCCACCACAGAGGCCACCTCTTCAAGCAAGGTAGCCGACCCAGCCAAATGAGTACAATAATGAAGAGTCTCTTTCCCGTGGGGGCGCTGTTGGGGTACCCCTTCCACCTCTCCCTAGCATCTCTGTTCTTCCGCAGCCTCCAGCGGTGTCTGGGAGCTGGAAGGACAAGACTATCGGCCTCCGGGTCCACTCAAGAGCCCGACCCACCAACAGAAACTTCAGACTGAATTCACCCCACACCGGGGCAGGACCCCGCAGCGCCCACATGGTGCTGCATGGAGAGAACTCAGTCGAATTTCCTGCATGCACTTCTGCCACTCTGAGCCACAGTTCCAGAGGCGGGAACCACAACTCTGCCCAATAGAACCCATGCATGCGTGGCCCATGCTCGAGCAATCATCCCAACATGTCCCCACCTTAATGATAATTCTGTAACATGCTAGAACTGATCAGTGTGCTTTAGTGCCAAGTACTAGCAATTTCTGCACAGGAGTGCTACCTGGACATGAGCCTACATTCCTTAGGGCCTTGCCAGAGGTCCTGTACACCCAGAAGGCAGCAAAGAGCCAAGGCTGGTGTCGGCCTTGGGAGGCTGATGTAGACATTGTAAGCTTGAGGTACGCAGCACATGCACAGTGAATTGAAGGCCAGCCTGGGGTACACACCCAGGCCCTGTCTGCCTCCCTCTCCTCTAAAATACTACAAAACCCCAACGAGGCTTACGTGGATCTAAAGCAGCCTGTGCTGCTGAGAAGGGAGCAGTTTCATTTCTGCCGAGTTAGATGCTGCAGCCTGACCCTGTTCCATACACTGCTCTATGGTCTTGCTATTCTTTCCCTCTCAGCCACGCCCATTCCGCACCTTCTGAATCAGACTGTGTCCTAAGCCAGCACCCCTGGTTCACTCAGTACATGGAAAGGGGACAGAAATCACATTTCACACCAAAGTGCAAAAGGACAGTGCTCATGCCTCTGGGAAATTTCAAAGTCAATGGTGCTACAGTACAGTCCCTTTTATAGGAGCTGTGGGCTAGCCTGGGACACTGGCCATCTCAATTCAAGACCTCAACTATGGAAACTGCTCATACCCAGTATCTTTAAGCACACAGTATGGACACAGTGCTGAAAAGCAAGGGAGACACCAAAGCTCATCAAATTCCAAGACCTCCTGCTCAGTGACCTCCTGGTTCCTTGGGTCTGCTTTGCTAGGTAGTTTCTTCTTCTCAAATTGTAGCATTGACTCTGGTGGTGCGGGGGTCTCTCAGAAGGAAATGCAGGGTGCCTGTCAGCTATATCAGGCAGAAAAGGAGATGACGTTCAGATGTCCTTACTCTGCCCCAAATGTAGGTCAATAAGCCGGCACAGACGGACAGGAGTAGAAGGATCTGTTTCTTGGGGAACAAATCAAAATGAAAAACTAAACAACCCAACTCTAGATGGTTCTTTCTCTCCTGGGTTGGTGCTTTGCACTTCTCTTGGGAAAAGGAAGTTCTAGCCTTCTGGATTGTAAACTTACACAGAAACATCTTTCTGGCTCTAGAGTACAGGCTGTACCCTTTCTGCAGCCATGTTTTCTCAATGTTCAACAGGATCAGGTCTCTTAAGAGGATAGGAAACACACAAGGGACTCTTGAGATTCACACAAGCCTGTCAAACATCCCTCACCCAGACCTGCCTCTTCCTACCTCACTAGTCAGCCTCAGAACAAGCACCATGGGCTCTCTCCAGTAAATGTGAGCCCTCTCTCCATCTCAAAGAGGAAGTCATTTCTCTCACCCCAAGCTTTCAGAGTCCCCAAGTCCTCAGCAGCTGATGCTTTGAGAGATAGCTGTGAAGATGCCAAGGAGCCAAGATTCCTAGAAGGAAAACAGCCAGAATCAACCTGAGAGGGAAGGGTTGTGCTGGCAACTGCTACCCCACTTCCTCCCAGAGCCAGTAAGTAGACAGGACCTGACATTGGGCAGGGACAGTAAGAGAAGAGAGCAGGTTGAGTATGTCATGGTGGACCTGGCTCATTTACTCTGTGTCCTGGAAGCTGTGTCCCCTGAAGCTCAGAGCGCTGTAGGCTTCCAGACCTTTCCCTTGTCCAGAGAGGCAGGAAGGTTGAGCGGAGCTCAACTGCAGAGCGAAAGCAACTGGCTCTGCAGTGCCAATATATAGCCAAAGTGTGAATGCTAGCTGAGGTAAAACGGAGTAAGCCCCACCTTCCTTTGCTAGTTTTCTAAGTTAAATTGAGTCATCATTCTGAGACTTTGAGCATTTCGTCACTCCAGGAAGTATAACGGGGAACTTAGATGCTTCGTGCCATTGTAACTTGAATTGACAACAAGAACAAGGAAAATTTTTTTAAAGAAATTTTTAAAAAAGCAAACAAAAGTGAAACTAGGTGGAAATCAGAGGACACAGGTGGAAGGAGCAGGTTGGGGAGGGGAGAGGGCCAGAGAAATTTACTCATATATATTAAATTTCTGTATGGAAGTTTTAAAATTTAATTAAAATTGAAGTTCCTGTCTCCTTTAGGAGACCCAGCGTCTCTATTTTAACAGCCTTGCCAGAGCAGCCTTGGCCCCTGGGCTTCCATGAGCAGGTGCTGGGAGGGATGGGGAGAGGAGAGCTGGGGATGTCCTGGGAGAAGGAAGGGCCATGCAGAGATGACTGTTGCACCAGCACAGGCAGAGGGGACACACACATGCTCACTCACATGAACACACACATACACACACACAGATAAACACATACAAACAGAAACACACAGAAAGGAATACACACATGAACACATACACACAGAAACACACAGAAAGGAACTCACACAGGACACACTCTCTCACACACACACATTCACACACACAAATGAGTACACACAGATACTCACACCCAGTAACACACACACATACACTCACACACACTCACACACACTCACACAAAGGAACACACACGTCAACACACAAAAACACACACTCATACAGATAGTCACACACAGGAACACACACACACACATGAACACAGAGTCACACACTTATTCACACACACACTTTAACACACACAAACCTACATGAACACATACACACAGGAACACTGTCACACACACTTATTCACACACACACACTTTCACACATGAAAACGTACAAGAACACAGACACACATAAACACAGTCACACACAATCATGCACACAATCAACACAGTCACACAAAATCATGCACACAATCACACACACAATCATGCACATTCATGCACACAGACACACACATGAACACACAGTCACACACACAATCACACACACAATCATGCACATTCATGCACACAGACACACACATGAACACACAGTCACACACACAATCACACATACTCATGCACACACACACTCCTATCACTTTGCTTTCTTTGGGTCTGTTTTTATACTAATTATGGCACTGCATGTTTGGGTATCTCTTTACCTCTGTGAGCAATCTCAAGAACATGCGAGCTTTTCTTGCTTCTTTGTTTTCAGTTGTTTGTTTGTTTGTTGCATGGTGGGGCATGCTTTGGTACATACATATTTCACAATACTGGGTTTCTTTTGATATCATCCTAAATGCAAATGACATGCTGTGGTCACACTCATCCCTTTAAACTCTCTCATTTCCACTGTCCACAGGGACCACGGGTTTGAAAGCACAGGGGCTGAAAAGCCCAGCTCACTGGGGTCTCTGAAGTATCAATTATTCTGTCTGGAGAGCAGCACGCAAACCACTCCTCTGTCTCATATGGCTGTTCCTGGAAGATTCCTGGAAGAGTAGCCGAGAATCTCATTGTCAGGCTACAGGCAGGGGGCTGCCCGTGTAAGAAAATAAGTGGGTATGCTCAGAGCCTGCTATGGCAGAGTTACACACACTCACCAACTCCTGCCATGCTAAATTAGTCATAATTACATAGGAATCTGTTTCCCATCACCAAAAGAATTTGAGCAAGCAATTTGCCTGGCAATTTAACAAAACAATCCTGCAGCACTGGAGTATTGAAAGAGGAGATTCTTCAGAGGGCCCCATGTACTCAGGAGCCAGACTGGGCAGGGTCTAAGGCCTGAGAAAGACACAGCTCCATTCTGTGCCTTTGTGGTACCACCAGTCCGGGAATAAGGTGGGGCTTAGTGTCCTTGCTATTTCCCAGCTTTGCAAGTTTCTGTTTCCTAGGAAAGGAAAGCACAACTCTCCCATCTCCTCTGACTCCACCCCTCTAACCTCAACGAGCAAAGGCTGTTTCCTGTTAGACAACGTTCATCACTTTACAGTCAGTGTGTGGTTCATGAGCTCTGGCTTCAGACTGAGACACTGTGTCAGTAGTAACACTAAATCCCTTGCGGAGCAATAGGGCAAAACTGTTTCTGCGAACCCTAAACTCTATTCCTTGGTTTCCTTGGTGTGAGACAGGGTCTCAGGTGTCCCTGGCTGTCCCACCAACAAGGACATGGAACTCCTGAACCCCCAAGTGTTGGCACTGTAAGCCTGTGCCACCATGCCTGGCTGGCTTTATTTGACTTTTTGATTGTTAATGCTTTTTAGTTAATGCTCAAAATAAAGGAGTGCTCTTGCAGTTTTCACACATGGATAGCATTGTATCGGGCCCTGTTATGCTGCCTTAGATCTGCCCCTCCCCAACTCGTCTCCTAATTACTCTTTCTACCTTCATGTCATACATGCCAATCTACAGCTCCCATAGAGACCTGACAGAGTTCCTTCCCCTTCTTGTTAGTCTCTTAGGTTTCTCACTTTCTTCCTCTCTCTCCCTCTCTCTCCCTCCCTCTCTCTCTCTCTCTCTCTCTGTGTGTGTGTGTGTGTGATGCTAAGCACTCACTCTACCACTAATTTCCAGCTCCATCTCTCAAGTAATTTGTATCTTTGTCTCTACACACAGTCCTACTTAATGTCTCTTTGCCAATCTTGAGTCACACTCCTCTGTAACTATTTCATTTCCTCCTTGTTCAGCTTCACCATTTTCCAATGGAATCTGCAGGAAATTTACCAGAGTCTTTCTGCTCTGGGTAGGGATGGAGCTTAGAGGTAGATGATTTACCAACTATGTGTGAAATCTGGCGTCGTTCACCAAACACACAGGCATACAGACAGACAGACAGACAGACAGACAGACAGACAGACATAGAGAAAGACAAAAAGAGAGAGAGAGAGATGGACAGAGGAGATTACAGAGACAGAGACAGAGAGCCAGTGACAGAGACACAAAGACAGAGAGACACACAGAGACTGAGAAAGACAGAGAGACAGGGACCAAGAATCTCACAGAGACAGAAAGACACAGAGACTGAGAGATATGGTTCTTTACTGTGACCCTCATGAATCTGGTTGTGGATTTGATACAAAGTCTCCCCTGGAATATCTCTTCTTTGTCTTGTATACTTCTATAATATCACAAGGAGAAAATTATTCATCTTCATATTGTTTTATGTCCCCACAGCTTGGCTTTGTGACCAAGGAGAACATTGTCTCTGGATTCCAGTGTCCAGAGCGGATGATGACTCATGGAGGGGCCAAATGGCTCAAGGAATAAAAAGACAAGCAGATGTCTCCTAGCCTAAGTGCCAACTCTAGAATGTCTGACTTCTGGAGCAACCCCAATGCACATGGGCTTTGTCACCTTCGCCTTGAATGTCTAATTCTATCTGGGAACCTCTTGTCCTTCATGTGTTCCTCCAGAAATCACAGACCAGTGAGTCTCTGACTCTTGGAGGAATTTCTCAAACCTTAGAAAAGTGGTTCTCAGCCCCTGGGTCACAACCTCTTTGAGAGCAGAAGGGCCCTTTCAAAGATTTGGGCTTTTCAAGTAAACGAATTTGAAAGATCACTGGGGCTGGGAATGAAGCCCAAGACCATAGACATGTTCACAACACACCCTAAAACTGAGCCACACCCCCAACCTTTAGAGGGTTGGTTAAAAAGCTCTAAAGGAACGCCTTGATGTTGCCAGTGGGAAGGAAATTTGGAAGAGAAAATATTAGTAAAGAAAGAACGCCAGCTTGTCCATCAGTAGGTTCTGTGTGTCTGCATTCTTACCAACCTTATGATTAACA